ATAATTTTTTGGCACAGAATTTAGAGAATGTCAAAGTGAGGTCAGATTACTTGCTGTTTAAAAAAGTTAACAGGAAGGTGATTTTTTTGTGTGTTGTAACTTACGAGAACCAAGAAATACAGTAATTTATTTTTAGCATATCTTAGTTTACTTCGGTATTAATTATAACAAAAAATAAGCTATTTGTACGTTTTAATACTAGTATTAAGGCAGAAGAAAGACCGTATTGTCACCCGTGGAACATTAAAAGATTAATAAAATGAAGGAAGTTTTAATACTTAGGAAATCAAGTTCATAAGTGCCGACACTTAACAAAGATAACAATGTATAAATCAGACTTGATATAATTTTTCTCATTCTTATAGAAATATTAATATAAGCTCCTATTCGCACAAAAAAACAACCTGCATTGAGCAAGAAAACGTACCATTTCAATTATTCACATATCGCATGACTGTATGACGTCGTCGTCTTTCTGATAGCGCGGTGCACACTCTTTTGTAATATTCAAATTAGACAAGACATGAAATGATTCGTTTTTCAAGGGCGTGTTTTCCCATTCGTACGAACAACACGAAAATGTAAATTTTTCATGACAACGTCGGTTATTAAATAGACGAGGTCACAAGATGAAAAACTCTAAAATAATCTTTTGTTGTTAAGGAGCATTCGATTTTAAGATGAATCGTAAATCAAGGTGTTTATTGGACGCAATGTAATTTGTCGAGATTTACGATCGAATTTGCAGGAAACCCGTGCGGTAATTTTGTAGGATTTAAAGCGTGCAAACTTCACTGCAGTTAATCCGTAACTTTAAGTTATACGTTCTACTGGTCAAGGAAAAGTTCAATTAGTTGGGGAAACTTCGTAAAACGTATTAAAAAATTAAAACAAATAGAAAACAGCGTGGTAATTTTAAAATTATAAAGGAAAAACTATTTTCCAACATAAATTTGAATACTTTCGAAAAGAAACTTTTTCCATTTGGCCTAAAGTTCTGTTAAATTTTAATTAAAATACAGAGGAATTTGTATTGAGTACACAATTATAGGAAATAAAGTTAGTATGAAATTAACTACGTTTAGAAAAAAAATGAACACATAACTAACGTTACGACAGTATTGGAAAAATGGCAAAAGAGATAAATCTAACGAAAATTGATGGCAATCTCTGGAGACTCATATCCGCAACGGAAACAAAATAAACTGTCGATCCGCTGAAAGGTCAAGGGTGAATTAGTTAGCTGCATGAAAACAGAAAATAATGTTTTGCGGATAGCGACAGCTAGATATAATTAAAAATGTAATATGGTTATTGTTGCAGCGTGAACCAAGTTTGGTCTAAATTGTAAACGCAGAATGGCCTCTTAAATCAGACACATTTTTATTACAATTGCCGTTTAACAACAATAGTTTTTGCAAATATTGACGGTGGAATTTTATATACGAAGTCAAATAGATTAAAGCTGCAATTTAAATAACATCAAGTCAGCGCATGGTGAACTACATTCGAGAAAATTATTGCACCTCCTGCCATCGTTTTAATTCCCAACATATCTTATTTGATTAAATAATTTTTATGAAAGCCCGACGAATCCGACTTAATTCGATCAACATAGTCGTTTATAATAAAAAAAACTGAGATTATTATCGCACGCAACCTTATATCAACCGCCGATTACCTTAATTAAATTACAAATTTCCAAGCAAAATTTATTAAATACCAACAAATCTTAGAGTCGCGTGTACCAGACCTATTTCCAACAGGAAATATTTACACATCCAGCCAACAAGAATGCAATTGCATCAAAGCATACAGGCAATTGACTAGCGCAAGCTCATCGTTTAAACGGCTTTAAAAAGCCGAGAAATACGAGCGATGCTCTAGAAATTTTCCACTTCGTCAAAATGAAAGAGGAACAAATAGAAAAATGCTGTTCTAACAAGAAAACTTTTTCACTTATACAGAAATTGAGAAGTGAACTAAGCTATAATAGAGAAATATTAAATATGAGATTACTAAAAATGAAATAACAGTAAAAATATGGGATATTTAATTATAAAACCTAAGAATTAAATAATCAAATCATTATTGTCTTAGCAACTTGTCATCTTTATTAAAATCCGTTGCCGAACCGAAATTAGATTTTCCTTTGCGATGAAACAGAAACTCCACAATCAGTGTAAAGTAAATCGCTTTTGATGTATTCCATTAATAAAGTTTTCAACGAGTTTCTATTGAAATTTAAGAGGTAATTTTCGACTGGATTTCGAATTTTCTACTGCCGTTGTCGAAGAAAACTAAAAGAGCCACTCGTCTTCTACCTTTTTGCCAAAAGAACAACTTCAGATAACTTCGTCGTGTCGGAACGAGTTTTCTCGAATTTCCGATAATAATTTGCCGACGTCATTAGAACTCGTAACAAGATTTAAAAGCAGTCCAGTGCTATTTTACTCATTTTTTTTACTAATAGCGTAGCTTTATTTAAAAGATCGATAAAGTTAAAATAGAAATAGATATTAAATTAATATTAATAGCTAATCGATAATTACTAAATAAAACCTTGTAGTTTTCCAAACGGTGTATTTAAACACGACAAGTTTATTTTCTTCTTTAGAAGGTGCTAATAAATACATCGCCCGCAAAAACTCAAAAAGTAAACTGTTTACAGGATAATAATTTTATTTATAAGCTTATCTAATTTCGAAAAAACCACATGCACTAAAGTAGTTTTAGGTAGATTTTATGGCGAAATTTATTGTTCATAACAATTTTATTTACTGCATGAGCAATCAAAATCCAGCTAGCGCCTCTAAAAAGTATTTTTAATCAATAGGAAAGTAAATTGGTTTGTGGGAAACTTACTTTATAATTAGAGAAAACTTGGAAAATTACATTTCCGATAGTTATAACGAACAGTATCTTTGTCAGAACTGAAAATAAAAAAAACCTCAAAGGTCACGAGCGGAATATATCTCGTAGAATTTATGGAAAGAGGTGCTTTAGATGCTATTACGAAAAATGGGCGCATATCCGCCTATTTGACTTTCAAATTTTTCTCGTAAAAATGAGCAAAACAAATCGTTCAAGGATATACGTAGACACTCGCTTCAATTAGAATGATATAACAAACAAAACAAAACCTACTAACGTCTTCGAGAAAACTTATGGTCAACAGGAAAAATATAAACATCTGAAATAATGTTCGCGGTGACCTTGTTTGGAATGCTCTTATACGACGCACTTGCATTCCACTAAATATGGAAAGGAGCAGATGTCTACAAGGAGGAGTAAGTATATGTGAAAAATAAATGAATAGGAGAAAACCCTCAAGTCTCCTTCTATTCCTTTTGTCAGAAGTCCTTTACGACACAACAATAAACTGTATAAAAGATAAGAAAAGGAACCACAAATTGAAAATTCCTTTTAAAAGAATCGTAGACCAGTTTTAATACTTTTACCAACTACATTCTAGTTAGACATAAACTGAGAATTTTAATTAAGTAAATATTAGGTAAGCTCAAACTTTGTATAAAATATCAATCGATTCCAATTCCTCGCCCCGAAATACACCAACATATAAATGTATACGTAGCATCCATTAGAATTTGCGATTTGAATTTACTGTACTACTTGATACAGAATACGATTATTTTATGTGGAAATAAAACGACGTTCAAACAAACATCGATCGAGAATAGCCTGGCGATGAATGCGATTTTGTAGCAGGAAATGGGAAAGAAATACGTAGGTATACAATGCGAGAAAGGAAACCCGACGTGATTCTTTCTGCCAATGTCAAGGATTATGAATGACATTGTTAACGAGCGTTGTTGCCAATAAAGAAGACTTTATTCGACCTTTTTTTAATTGTATCTGATAAACAATATTGATATGCTGCAAGAAGATACGAAAGTTGAACTTTGCCATAGATAAAATCAGTTGAAAGATTAGATTATTTTATTTTATTTAGCTGACAACTTTGTAAATTTCATATACATATAAGAAGAAAAAACAATAAAATACAGATGAAAATATTTCACCTTGCAGAAATGTAAACAGGCGGTTATATTTGGGAGTTTTCGCCTTCTTTTGCCCAAATCGATAGAGAAGTAAATTTCCATCCGTTTTCTAAATTCAGACAAACAAATAAGGCAAGATGGTAAATAAACACGAGCTGTTTTTCGTTCCAGAAAATTAATATAAAAATATAAAAGATATTTTTTATATAGCTAAATAAATTTTAAAACAGAATTAGGTACTGCAAAAATTCGTCCTTAAATCACATTTAATCATTTTGCGGAAGACCAGAAGAAACAAAATAATCAAAAACCGGCAAGAGATAGCAAGTCCTGTAAAAATTATCTAATGAATACCTGGATTTTTTATTAAAAAAAGGAACTATAGCAATTCTTATGATGATTGAATACGATAAAGCAGCAGGATGAAAAAAAATACCTACCTACAAATTACGAGCATGTTAATTAAGTAAAAATTTGTTCAAAGAAAGTTGGATTAAACGTACAACGCGTCAATAATTGTACGCTAAAAAATTCTTTTGAACTTCCTCATTACCCCTAGAGAAATAAGACACTTTATTTTTCAATTCGGTGTTCAGATTCAACAAAACAAAGAGAAAATAACACAGTCTTTTCACAAAATTTTCGTAAAAGTACACTTTGCCTGGAAATTAGGTACACGAATAGGTAGGCTTTCAATTAACACGTGCAGTTCATATTAAAAAAAAGATTTCTTCTTTAAGAAGTCCGTGTTTCGCAACACACCAATAAATAAAAAAATCAACCTATAATAAATCACACATTCAGATCGAAAACACTGAACTTGACCCCAGGGTTAGGTAAACACACGAGAAGAAAAAATGAAACCGGTTGTAATTTCGAGTGGAAAGTAAAACTATACTTTCATTTACAAGAGAAATCAAAGTGTTATTTTTAATTTTTTTTATTCACAACAATGTTTTCGTGGAACTACGAATTGGATTACTTATTGGCTCTTTCATTTTGAAGAAACCACACCTAAAAATAACGATTACCATACATGCTTGCGTAGAATTCTAATACGTTTATAATACACCGGAGGAAAAGTTTTGTACACACGAGATCTTATAAAGTAGAAGCACTAACTAGATATCACTCTGTTCAGTTTGCAGAAGTTACATAATTTTCACAAATCATGTTATTGTGGTAACCGCAAGTAGAGCGTTTAAAGGAGGATACAGAGAAAATGCTATTTCAATACAAAAAAAGCTGATGTCGACATAACAGATTCGTTCTTCCTTGAAACTTAACGCAAGTTACATAGAATCAGTACCGATCGTTTTTCAAGACTTTATTCCTCATAAAATCTCTTGCAAAATGATTCGTTAGGTAACGAACTTTGGTTAAAATTGCGAAGCTTAATTAAAGTTATTCTGGAAATATGAAATTTCTATAAACAAAGCTTCTCCGTTGATTTTCTGAAGTTGACAACAGTAAACCAGAAACCGCAATTAGTTTTGATAAATGATCGTACACAAAGTTTTCAAACTTTTGCCGGAAAAGAATGACAAAAAAACCGCAACAATTACGAACACACGTTTGCGCTCTGGCAAAAATTCAATTTCTCGGTTTTATATTTAGAACCGTATCAAGATAGCCGTGTAGTAAGTTATACAACTAAGAAAACGCGGTATTGTTTTACTGGTTATCTATACGTACCGGCGCTTTATAATTTAACAGCCGGTTAATTAACTGAATGTTTAGAATTATGTACAAAAACCGATGATAATATGTACCGAAAAATGTATCTGCATTTTGTTAAAAGTGAAATATGAATTCTGTTATTAATGTATTTATTTTATAATTTTATTGGAAAACATTTCGATATTTTTAATATCGTTAAAATCCATTGTAACAACGACCTATTTGTTCTGATTTTACATTTATGCAATTGCGTTCGAAATACTCGTTAAAATTTTTAATGATAGATAAATTAAACCGACGTGTATGTACGTATTTATAATTCGAACACGTTAAATTGCTAACGGAAACATATTCAACCGTTGTTTATTTATTAATATTCGCTAACAGTGTTTAAAATAAGTAAATAATGAAATGTTCTGCGTTGAAAATTACATAAGGACAATATACGTATAATCAGAAACAACACAAGAAGAAAGATTTTTTGTTCTTCTCAAAGCAACACAACAGGCCTCATTAAAGCCTCGACAAAAAACCAAAAACCTGATACCAATTAAAACAAAAAATAAATCTCAAATCAATGCCAAGCAATTTGCACAACATTTAATTGCCCAGCTATTAAAGGATATTGCAATTCGCAATTTACCTTCCAAAACACCTATTTACTGCAGTTTATTAAATACTCGTACTTCTTTCAATAACATTTACGGGCAATTAATCTTTAACACATTGAACTTATACAAAATTGCCGGACATTTACGCCTCGAGACTTCCAGTCGACGAAATTTTCAAAACAATGTACTTACCTTATTGGTGGAAGAAGAATTACGGGGCCTGTAGGCTCTGTCATCCAACAAAATAGGCTTCGCGGAGGATTTGGTCGTTTGTCCAGTGGAACCGATGGTGGGGTCGGCGTTCTTGGTCACCTCCAGACTTTCCGGCACGGTCTGAAGGGTGGAGCGCATAGCTGCCGACATCGTCCCCACTCACACTATCGCGCTGGCCACTTTACATTACCTGCAAAACACGATAAAAATCTAATGCGATTTGATCAAAGTAGTACCCGAGCGAAGGCTTTTTTTGTCGAAATATGTTCGATTCTTATTAACATTGAAAGCATGTACTCTCACACAACGATTCAGGCATACTCACACCACACCTTTGCGTGTCAAATGTATCAAGACGCTCTTCCGCTCGCTCGATATGATCGAGACTATACAAAAGGGCTTCATATCAACCCCTTAAATACACATTTCAGTTTACTTATACATCCAAAAAAGGTCATCAATAGTTTCACGATTTAGCGCACTTTCCGGTATAAAAAACGAAATCGATTCCTAACCGTTTGGAATCAATCAAGTCTCCTATAATTTAATGTAAAGGAACGGACGGTCGGTTTTGCGGCCGCTGGGAATACTGGAGATTGGGGATGCGCTGCCTTCGACTTCGTGGAAACTGAAAAGAGGTTTTTGGCTTGTCTAGTTCGGTCGCGAAAGAAGGATTTTCGGTTGATTAAACGGCAAAGCTCCGAAAATGGAGGCGAAAACGACCTTAGCAAAGGTGTTGAAACAAGTTTTCTTTCGAAAAGTAGATTAAAACAAAACTTCATACAATGTACGTACGAAAAGTAATTTCATGGTAATTGCCCTACACTTATTATAGCGTGAATTCAAGTTTATCTATAGAAGGTAATTTGAAAATTTCATAAAATGGGAAATTTGCATGTTATCGAGCTTTGTGTCGATGACAACGGTTTCTTTTAAACTATTATTTAGTTCAAGCGCATAATTATAAATAATTACATACCGCGAATTACAAAATATATAAGTCAATGACTCTGCTCTAGTGAAAGACACCTTGAACAAGCCAGATTGATCGAACAGTTAGAATTGTATTGTAGGTAGGTAGCAGTTTTAAAACCGGAAATATTGTTCGGTATATAACCATATAAAAATCACAAGCTGCGTCAAATTTTTATACCTACGTACATTTAATTTTTGTTAGAACAATAAAAATTGTAAATGCAATATTTGGGTACCTATTCGTATTTTAAATCAAGTGAATACATGTCAAAGCGGATATTCAATAAAACAGGAAATTGGCTTCCAGTAAATAATAAATAGGAAATATCAGCCTCCGAAAATATCAATATTATACCTGGATGACACTAGAGTATAAAAAATAGTTCAATTTATCTGATATAACTACAAAAACCAGAATCAAAAAATAATAGAAATTCTCTTCGTTTCTAAATAGCAAGTTCTACTTACATAATAGTTACTTTTTTTTATTCTCAAGGAACTTCGTGCGTACGTCAAAATCGCAATTTCATTTGTCTCTCTAACAAGGCTTAATTACCTTTTCTTATTACTGTTATTACAACATAAAAATTGTGTAACGTCTAGTAAAAATCCAAGTCAATCATAAACACAGTTTTAACGGTTTCCATTGTTTTCATAGCCCAAGTTGTTTGCGTGAGTATAAGTAAAATGCAGTAGATAAATTATTATAATGTAAACGTGATTAATTTTCAATTTAATTTATAATAGTGTTAATTTGTCAGTTGTTAATTGTGAGATCAAACCAAGGGAAAAATAGACTATAAGGTATGTAATTGAGTTAAGAATTACCAATTATTCGATTTTTTAAAACATTTTACGCAACGTTCCAACAGTTGCAAAATAATCAATAAATTATACGATTAATCCTGTAGAACAGTTATACCGAGCATTAGTTTTGATTGCAATTTACAAGTTAATTGATTTGTCGTTGAGGAGGTCGTTTAAAAAAGGACTGCAAGATTTTCATTGATTAACTTAGTAATTGTGATATAAAAACAAATTAAGGTTTTTGTCTATAATTACAGAGCGGCTCGTTAATGTTGCATGGGTAAATTAAATACGATTAGATGAAACTAAGATGCTATTCAACAAATTTAACAATTTCAATCATATATCAGCATAAATGTTTGGAATGTCGTTTTTATAACAAAAACAAATATCTTTCGAGTTACGTATATTTGTAAAAATATTACGGTATCGTAACGATAATACATTTTTATTTTCGCATAATTTGTCACTTTTACTAAAACGCTACTGTAAACAATAAAATTATTACCGATCAATTTAAAATCAAACGACTGATGATTCATTCGACTCCGTTAATATTCAACGTTTCAGTGGCAAGAGTCAAGTTTGTCATTTACCTGGAACGTGTATCAGAACGGAAATTTTTCCTATAAGAAGCGTCGACCCATATTGTAAAATTTATTTTTGACCAAAACTATTTTAAAATAAAAGGAAAATGTCGCTTTCCTCCGTCGAGCGTATGAGATGCCAGATGTACTCCGTTCGTGTTAGTAAACAAAATGCTAAGTCTATTTATTATTACACTGTACGCTTAAAAAGTATGTAGGTACTTGTATTGTGAGCAATATGCATTGAATATTAGAGTAATTTAAAAATCAAAAAATATGTGAGTTAATTTTGTTATTTGAAAACAAAAATAACTAATTTTTAAATATTTCCAAAGTATACCTATTGCCAAAGTCATGAAAATCGACATCCATACAATACCAGGCAGTTTTTAACGATTTTTTTTAATATACCACCTCTCGAAACAAAATGAAAAACAAAATTAATCACCTAGCATCAATCATGCAACATTTTAATGAAATTTTTAAGAAAATAATACAGAAATGTTTATCACTGGTTGAGGAAGGATCCTCTTGGATTCGCCTCTATAGAAGGTTTATTATTTTTGAGTCAGTTTATAGACTCATTAATTTATGTTTACAAACGAATGATAAAGAACGAGATAAGTAATTATTAATCAGCTGTTGATAAATATAGGTCAACCATAGTTATAAGAATCATGCATTTATGCAATGTGAAGTTTGCACATAAAGCTATCGTCTACCGTTTGGCGATTAGTGGATATTATAAATTATTTCGCAAATAACTTGATTATATAATTCATAATAGAATAGTAAAAAGTGAAACCCAATACAATCACACGAAAAAAATATAAACCATGATTTAGAAGAACGTTTTATGTGATAGTCTTAAAATAAATATCATATTCAAATTGGAAATAAATTTAAGGCTTTATCAGTTTAAAAAAGAGCCATATGCCTTTCGTTTCAAAAATACGACACGCAAATTTAATATAAACAATTCAAAAGTTAAATCTATAATTCAAAAGAGTAGTTAAATTAATTAAATTTAATTTACTGCAATAAACCGTTAAATATTTAACTTGTTATTAAATATACATTTTAATGAAGAAATATACAATCGATTACTGAAATAGGCCCCCTTAAATTCCATTTAACTTTACTTTGTTTGACTTTATTTCTTTGCACGAATCAAATTTACGTAAAACGAAGAGAATTTAAATTGACTTCGCAAGAAAGCATGCTTTGGTTTTTGTTTATTTACACAAAGCCAAATGCGAATATTTTAAAGATAGTCCGACTTAAAATTTCATTAATAATAATGAAAACAATAAAATGTAGGTATTATAACTGAAAATGTGGGCTAAACGAGGCATATGGGCACATAGTGAAATTAACCGTTTTGGATAATTCGTGTTAAATAAATATTGACATAATTAGAGGCGTTTTAGTTGGTGTTATCAACTTACTTTACCTCGTTTAAGTGTTGGGAAATTGTTTTCTAAGCATGAAAGTATCAGATATAAATAATCTTGCAAGATTTGATAGAAAATGTGCATATACCACAATAATTATACATAACAAACTCCATAAAATTTAAGTTAAAAAATAGGTATACCAACTTGAGTTAACGTAGGCAATGAATTTTATTCAGTCAATTAGTAAGTAAAGTAAACTTTTCAGGAAGGGATGAATGAAAGTACAGCAGGTAAAACTTCCTAGAATTATAATTTCTAAAACTAAGTAAACAATTTCATGAGGATTTGAACAATAGCGTTAATTTTAGCGAGGAGGTAAGTTATCAATAGGCGTGAGTGTATGGCTCACTGAATATAAAAATATATTTTAGCCCACCCAGTTTTAATAGTTAACACTTTTTACGGTTTATATTTGGACTAATTAATTAGACGAATGATAGCCAGAATTTCCAATTGATGAAAGTCAAGGTTCTTAACCTCAATTCGTCTTGTTTAATTGGAGATGCAGAAAAATATTATATTCCAAAGTTGTTTACAACATCAACATTGCTGGCCAATAAAAAAATTATATTTATTATTGAACTAGAGAATAAGGCAATAAATCTAACAGGAAAGTATGTAAGCTCGACGAATAATAAGCACATCCTAGTAAAGAATAGAATATTATTTAGAAATATTTCAAACTGAATAACTACTCCATATCTAACTCGTTTTTTATAGTATTTCATAACAAAGAATTCTCGTCGTTATTGTGAGGTTGTAACTAAGATAATTTATTAATAAATGATGTGTACGAATTAACTCTTCATCGGTGAAGAAGTAATGACCTCCCAGGGTCTTCTATCAATGATGACTCATTTGAAACGAACTTACAATACACTTTAGCTAACGAATGAACCTGTCTTAATATGTGTACACCTACATACTAATTTCTGAACTAATTGAATCATATTTCCGGGTATTTGCGGACGATTGTAACCTAGCATAATCGATTGAATTAACGATTGATTACCTGATGCTTTGCCATACAATAAATTTCTATATAATAAGTCAAAGGTCTACCTAATAAGGCGAAATTTCTTAAGCCAATATTGGCCTCTAAAACCACATCGAATCCGAGTGGTTTCACTTATAATTCCGGCGATTAATAAACTACAAGCACCCCGTACACAAATAAACTATCTCAAGTTTCTACTAATGCTAATTTTAAGCGTTAAAACTATTTTTCCTGTATTTAGGAACCGAGTGAAAGCTTTGACAGGGACACACTTTTCGAACGAAATTTACCACGTTCCGGTACGTTTTTTCACATCGACCACTAAATTACACTACACTAGGTTTCGTAAATAATGTAACTCACCCATAAAATAATCCTGATCACTTAAAAATCCTTTAAAATTAACACACACCTCAAAAAAGCATACTTTTAGATTTCTACAAGATGGCTGGGGAAACTGAACGTATACAGTCCAATCGAGCTAGGACCTACTTCGGCGATATCGCCCCGAGAGCCCCGTTGACTGCCGTAGGAACGTCGGTCGCAGCGCTCACCGTATTTTCATGACGTCGGTGACAAGGTGATCCGCCGTGCGCATGACCAACCGGGCCGTGTAGATGTTACAGTGGCAGTCAAACTTTCTCATTTTTATTTTATTACTCACACTTATTTTATTGAATATTAAATGTAATACGTATTTTCGTTTGATTGTGTCGAATAATCGGGAAAATAATGCGATTTCTATTATTATATCTTCTTTTATAATTGATTTTTGACAGTACTATTGATAAAACGCTAACTTCACTTTGGTGTAGGTACTGTGAGTGTCAAATTTGCTGTCACTGTCAAATCAATTGTCATTTGGTAGTTGACTTTACCATTTATGTTTTTGAACTCTTTTTGGTAATTTACTCAATTATGATTGGATTATCTATTATATATGAGAATGAATTGAGTTTCTGTAGCGTAATTATCCTGAAATTACTATAGGTATACCTATTATAATTGTTTGTGCTATTTTTGTCCGTTTGAGTATGTTAGCTTTAACTCATTATTTATAAAATGTTCGATATCGATTCACTTTACAATAAAGTATGTATTACCTACTCAAAAACGACCTATCGATCATCGAATATTAGCTTAGCAATTACGTTAGACTTTTTTCATTTTAAGAAAGAAGGAAGTTGCTATGTCCGTTTCGGAGCCACTGTTTTAACGCTGCATTCTGTAATTTGGCCGTGACTAAGCTACCGAAACCCGGCTTCAGAGTTTGCTGTGTGACGTCATGTAGCTCTGTAAAGGGATTGTGGCTTTCCTGTAATCTACAAAATCTGTAAAATACCGATGCAATGTAAATATTGCAATATCGACTGGTCCTCACTTAAAATCGTTTGCAAATAGCAACATTTCAAATACCCAAATAATAATAATTATTATTATAATTATATGCTAATAAAATTTATAATAATTATTATTATTATTATAATAATAATTATTATTTGTTGGAGAATTCTCATCAGAAGAAGTCCTACAATATGAAATGTGCGATAAATTATTCGAAAACTAATTTCATTTGTGACCCAATGCTGTAATTATTGAATAGGTTTATTGTTACAGCAGTAAACTTATGTGCAATAATTCAGTTAGTTCAGCAATATTGGATAATTCATATAGGTATGCAATTCGTAGTTAACAAAGCCCCTATAGGTTCCTAATCAACCGAATAGAGGAATAAAAATATTCTTTGACTCTTTCAGTCAAGAAACTCTTCATTACAGTAAATGCCGGCTCTTTTTTTAATGTACTACTTAAATTAAGCACCGAATTTTTAATTACCTTAACATGTTATTAATTTCATTACAAAGTTAACGACCTAATGGTCCCGCTAATCATTAGTGAAGGTTGAAAGTGCAAATATATAAAAAATATAGAGGCACTAAAGTCTAGATTGCATCTACAGCCATTAGTTCTAGTTTACTGTATAAAGCAGTAATACATAACGTGAATAGTTCAATTTTTCGTCAACTAACATCGTTAACCCGTTAACCTTTCGAGTGAAAAATCTATAGAGCTTGAAATTGCGGACTTTTCCACTAAATTACACTATGTGGCTTCCAACGGGTGACATTACAACAATCATGATAATTGCACACGATACGAACTCAGTTGCTGACTGTTTGGCATTCAAAAATATATTCCCCGAGCCAGCTTTGACCTACATTTGTACAAAAATGTTCCATAAAACATATCTAAAAAAATAGCCATGAAGTAAAACCGCCCGCACAGTCTATAAACAGCGTTTGCATAAAAAAATCTCGAAGACTTTCCCTCTTCAAAGAGGTATTCAGAAAATCCGAGTCAATATTGTCAGAAAATACCTATTCGAAAATAACCCGTCTAACCTTTTCTCCGATAGACGTTAGAGCGTTTCAGTCGCGTAGGCGTGGAAACCACCGGCAACACGCGATAATTCTCTTTAATAAAAAAGGGGATACACGTGAGGGAGAATTAATAAATAGAGCGAAGTACATCTCCTGCGTCAAATTCAATCAGAGGTGTAACTGCTTTTTTGCCCGTAACGATACTAAATTTAGGGATTGCAAAATTGAGCGAGGGTTGGAGAGGCTTCAAGGGGAGAATGTAGGTCAATGCTAATAAAAGCATGTGAGGCAAGTCTGCGAATTCAGAAAGGTTATTGCATGAATCTAAAAAAAAATTATCACTGTAAGTACACTGATAAGAATTTTCTATTGTTTATTAACTTATGGAGATAAGTATAAAAAACAAGCCATGAAAGTAATGAAGTAATGTGTTGGCACAACTATTTTAACAAATAATTAGACTAAAAATTTGGAGAAAATTAGGTCAGTTCTATAGTGAATACGTCTGTAAGTCTGTCTATCCAAAAGATTATTACGTGGCTTAATGGTATACTATTTTATAATCATCTCTTGGTGAAATTTATCCAGAGCTAAATTTTATTGGATTTTCCTGCCGTTTTACGACCCTGTACGCTCCGATCTAAATGACCAATTATTTATCTGCCCCTATGTCGGTCGACACGGCAGAATTTTTTGTGGCCTTTAGGTAAACACAAAAAATGCTATTTAACAGAGGAACGAGTAAAAAATGACCGTTCTTCTTATTTACATCGCACGTGTATTCGTCTATTTCCAGAAATGTTTGTGTAACGATGCAGAGTAAAATTAATTGAGTTTTTATCCGAAAAAAAATACAATTTCCTGAAAACCTGAAACTGTAACTTTGTTAATAATTACAACGTGGGTGTTAATGAATGTTTGTCGTCGATGATGATGGTGATAATAATTGGATGGATCCTCCATCACGGGTCAAACTCAGGGCAGCACTCCAAGTTACTTTGCTCAAAATATTGCGATTCTTTTATTCCTTTTCGTTCTACATTCATATACTTAATAAGAATTATTATGCTATAATGTAGGAGTTTTTGATAAAAACATCTTTGTTAACACAATTACTATGATACTTTCGAATCTAATCCTCAGAAATCTTCATCTGGGAATCCTCAAAAAACGGTGTTTCTTTGCATGCAAAATCAATCCTTTTCATCAATTTTAATGCATGCATTTCCCTTTGGAGGGCTTATTCACAAAGAGCCCATCCAATCCTGTTTTCATCCCTTTTGGCACTGTGTCTATCTAACGCCAACGCACGGAGTGGCATCATATAGTAAAATCCTCCCCTGAACGATGTAACTCGCCTTTCAATGAAAGTCTCACCCACGTCCCACGTTTCGAACCTTTGCGCTGGCGTCCTCTTATTGACTCGCCCGAAAGAGCATGCGCACACGTCCTTAGACTGTTGGTGATCCTTGTGAAGGACGTACGTGTCCGCAACAGTCTAAACGTTCATGTAGTCCGAACAAGGTGCTGCCTAACATCATGGCGCGAAGGGTAGCAAGTGTTTATTTAAATTGTTTAATAATTTGTAAGTAAAAGTTTGTTTCGTTAACTTGTATGTATTGTGGTAAATGGCTGTTATTAAGGGTCGTTGCGGGTTTTTCTTTTTTTGGTTGTTTTTGCCATGATTGAATCACATTTTAGCACTATTAGGAAATTGGATAGCAAATCTTGCTTAGGAATGATCCAGGTTCTTCAAAAATGAAGATGAGCTGCCTTATTTCTGGTTAAATGACGTAGAAGTTTGATATATTTTCTTAGATTATTTCACAAGATTTGGTAATTGTTATAGTTGTGTTAAAAATCAACCTACATAGGTAGTCCATCTAATGAAGCAATCTTCTTAAATAGTACAAATTAATGTCTATTGCTTCATCTATTCTACTAAAAGCTTCAGTATCTTCCTTATTCATTCATTTATTCTTCACTGTTAAGCTTCTTATAGCTTCGTGGCGCTATCCCAAAACCCACAATTACTACCCTACACACCATGATTGCCAGTTACACTATACCAATAGTACCGGATCTTAGTCTTGAGCCTCTCTTGGTTCAGGTTCGCCTGCACCTTTAGCTAGTTAGCAGTAGTACTGGATCTTAGAAATTGATCTTTTGCTTTGCAGGTGCAACGACAACTGTTCTCGTTTCGGCCTTAACTCTCAACCAAGCTACGACGAAACCCCGCCATACTAAATTCAGCACACCTTCGACAGACAGCAGCGGCTCGCCGGTCACGTCTGCTTCCAATGCTGCTCAGAACAAAGCGGCAGATTCGGGAGTCGCCTACTACCGGCTAATCAGCAGAATGGGCGCTACCTGCATTCTGCTAAAGACTGATGCTGTAGTCGAAGTGAGATTGCTTTAAACTACCTACTATACTTAATGCTACAATTATTGGCAATAACGTCACTGATCAGTGAGGATAGATCTTATTGGTCGAATAATAGGAGTCGGTGACGTCAGTGCCAATAATATAATTAGAAGTTTTGATATTTTTTGATACTATTTGATGGTATTTTTATTCTAGGTGAATTATACATTGCACGATTTAGAAGAACAAGTTAGCGCTTTTATTCCCGAGAAAGCTTTAATCGAAGGCGAATGTAAAGAGGAAGATAAAGCTACGATGAGAATTTCATGGACCGGTTATAGTTTAATCATCAATTTCGCAAAGGTAAATGCCTGGTTACCTCTGTTTTAATAATTTGAATAGAATTGAGGTATATCGCGCTATCGCCGAGAATTTCTACAGAACTTTTAAGTTTGCCTTTATAGTATACCGGTGTTAACTTAGTGAATGGTTTCGGCATTCTATTTTAGATGGCGCGGCGTGCTTAATCTGTTCCCATAATATCCCCTTATAACCCAATAGATACCCTAAAAATACTAAATTTAATTCATAGTCATTAATATTGCTTTTTATTTTCCAGACACCTGGTGGTGAACGATGGTACATAAGTTTAATAAGACTTAGTGCAAGCCCTGATCTGCCAGGTTTTCACGGCGTTTCAATTCCAAGTGAGTATTATTAACTGCTCACTGTAACTCTTTCGGCATTCTTTATTCCATAATTTGCGATGATTTCAGGAAAATCGTCGATTGAACTGTATCACCGCAATATGCTAATTCCGACGCCGGTAGGAAAATCGTACTCCTGCAACGAGGTGGAAGTGCCCTTAGAAACGGACGAGGACGACAATCCTCCGCCCGGTCTGAAAGGCACTTTACTCCTAAGGTTGCTCCAAGTCCAGCCTTTCATGTACAAGAGCGAGGACTTCGAACCGGCTCACGAGTGCAAACGTCAGAGGGCTTTTAGGTAAAAACGAAATTCACTTATATTTATTTTTTAAACGAAGAATTTATTACTTTTTCTCAGGGATGAAACAGCTCCGATAGCAGTTGGTTCAACGTTGGCGGTAGCTGTGTTAGTTACAATATCTGGTTATGGAGTCTATAGATATTTTAAAGTGAAAAATGTCCAGTACAACACCATGGAGTAAAATTCATAAGCATGTTGGTGCTTAAGGATGTTTTCGTTAGATTTGATGCCAATTTTTTTTGTCATATCGCTATAGGAACATATCATTTACTAGAAACATGAGGCAATATGTGTGTATTGTTCAATCTTCGTTCTTAATAATGAATCAAAAATGATATGAATTAAGACGTTGAAAGCCTATTGATATATTGAATTGACGTTTTTTAATAAACACGGAAATGTTTTCCAGTTGTAATCAAAATTGAAAACTCAATTATCATAAAATAATGTTTAAATTATTTACTAAAATAATAGTTTATGTAAATATTCTGTTATCGATGGCAGTCGGAATATTGTTAAAACAATACTAATATCATATATTTCCAAAAATATCATCGGAATCTAAACTTATCTAAATACCTTAGGAAATAAGTGGGAACATCAAATAATGATGATTGATAATGATTGATTCTACAAAAATAGTATTTTCCGATTGGCCATAACTTTATAAACTGTTAATCATATCAAATTATTTATGATGATTTTTTCTTGACAAGTTTGTCCAATTATAGGTACTCATGGTTCTAAAGGTAACAAATTGTCATATCTATTAGTCAATATACTCTATTGTTAAACCGTTTGATTGAATTTTAATAAAAGAAAAGCAGTATTAACATTGCAAAGATAAAATAATTAACAATAAATATTAAAATAACTAAAAAATAATATTTTTCGAAAATATTCATTATGCAAACAGTTCACAAAAGTAGATTAGGAAGCTGCACTTTTCGACTGTAAATACCTGTACTTACTGCATATATTAACGTACAAGTGCTCCTCGAGAAAATTAACTGGCAAAAAATATAGAGCAAGATACCTATACAAAAAGTTTAAAGGTGGTAAATTAATGTAATGTTTTAAAATTAAATCACTTTCCAAATATATAGAAAAGTAAGTAAAAAATCTGTAATTGTCAACAATATTTCGAATCACAATGCAATATTTTTCTTAATCTAATTTTTATTTTATATTTAGGCATGTAATATACCTTTAAATAGTTATCCAACTCTTGTTAAAATTATGTAGTATATTAAAATATTTAATGTAGGTGACAAAAAAATCAATTAAACCGATATTCAGAAATCCCTTGAGCAGGCTTAAAAAATTTACTTTGATAATCAAACATTTTTTCTAAGAATTTACAGTTTGATTTATTTAGTTTGTGTAGTAGATATTTATTTTTTTTCACCTGAAAGGTTGATTAGACACTTTTAAAATCTTTATTGTTAAATGATAGTCAACATATCCTTGCAATGTAAAAATTATTTTATTTTTTCGTATGTAGTCGTAAAAAAATTATATGGTATATAACAAAGGTGATTTATGAAAATTTGTAACTAACAATTCGTCAATTTGTGAATAAAATCAGTCATATCAATAAAATTAATCCGGTGTTTTTATCGCTGCAAATTTTCATAGAGTATTTTTGAAATTGCCATGGCCTGTCTTCCAATAAAATATATTACTAAAATTAAACGAATGTAGTTCGATGTGTTAAATTAAGGTACCTAATTAAAATTATACATCTATAAATATTAAATTTAATAAAGTATAAAATTCGTTCAATTTTTATTTAGTCGTCACCAATCCCAGTCCAATTCGGACCAAATGCGCTAAATTTTCTATTAAAATTGATCGTAATTAATCAGAAATAAATATAAACAAGGCAGTAGCCAATTTCAAAACAAATATCCACCGTCGAATGACGTAAAATTTCCTGTTGTAACACCTTAATTGGCACTTTTCCAAATAGAATCGTATACAGGCAGGTAAATTGTAAATAATAATTTATAGACCGTGGGAATATGCTGAAGTTATCAGACTCCATACTAGAGATATCCGAGTTAGCGAAAAAAAAAGTTGGCGAAAATGCTGATCAGTAAATTTCGAATTTTACGTACATTGTTTAACACGAGCGAAAGTTTTGTGCTTTGGTTATTTTATCTTCGGTTTTTACACGATCACGGAAAGCGAAAACCTTATCCGGGAAGTGGAGATGACACGACCTAATTTAATTGGAGTTTAACCGGATTCATTCTTGGAAATTCAATTTTGTTTTCCTTTACAGAAACCGAGTGAAGATGGGTTTGATTTTAGAGTATTAATCAGCAAAGAGCTTTGATGAATTTTATTTGTTAATCACCAGATTTGGTACGGTTTTATGTAAAAGAAGAATCTTCTTCAGAACACCCAACAGAGATTTTTATCACAAAAATAAACTTCTATTCCTCGCTACTTAAAAAAACGCCTCGGATTTTCTACCTGAGCGGGTGTATTTTAAATCAGTCAAGAGGTGTCGACGCTTCGACAGTAGCTCTTTTCAAGCGCGCATTATTGAGGGATAAGGGCCATTAAAGAATGGACCCCATTCTAGGAATGTCATCATCCGACATGTATTTCTCGATTGTCCGGACAGATTGAGAGGCGACAGAAACAGGCCATGTTTTGGAAATATCCACTGTATCGAGGACAATCAAAATGCGGGATGTGTAGTTTTGTAACGCGCTTTTAAATGCCATTAAATGCATCTCGAAATGTCGGTATGTACTTCCGGATTGTCAATAGACATGTCAGAAGAATAGATAATAATTTCCTAAAGTAGAAAAATATAGTAGCTTGTAGGAGTTGCATTTACGTTTAAATCCTGCACTCGAAATCAAGAAATTTAATGAAATTAATCATCGGTTCAAATTCGATATGGAACTAAATGAACATCCCCGACACTCAATTACTTCGGGGGGGTCGGAACAAATAAACTAACCGTAAATACAAGTGTACTAGTTCCCTCTGCCTTTTTTTATCCCCGTCTTGCTCCCTCTCGATGCGACGAAATCAAAGCAGCGGACTGTTAAAAGGCAAACGAAAACCCCGTGAACGGCGCATCAAGGCAATATTTGCGACACTATTACGGGACGTTATTCGCTCCTTCACAATGCCCGACTCGTATTACAGGATTACAAAACCGGGGGGCCGGGGATTGTTGCTCGCGTTGCGTTAACAAGTCCCCGGACGAGCATCTGGTTGGACTGCAGAGCCGGATTTTTCCACAATAGTATAAGCTAGCTCAATTTTTTTAAGGTACCGGTTTGATTGTCCTGCTGTGGTACGATAAAAATTCATAAGGAATTCGAGAGTGTTTAATTAATATCCAGAAAGAGTGTGTTAATTTTGGTTTCGATTGAAGTTTTATAAAAATTTTGAAATTTCACGAGGTGGGGTGAAAAAAATGAATGCGGTCCTGCAGGAGTGCTTGCGCTTAAATCCATCCAACCCGATATCACGTCGACAGGATCAAAGGAGAATGAATTATACAAATCTCGAGGATGGGCGTGGCGTTGAGGATTGTTATGGGATATAAGGGGCTTTGTTCACGTCACTTGACAAGCTACTGGTGTTATCCCGTGAAAGTGAGGTAGCCTCATCATTGAATAGATCGACCAAAAAATTGCAAAATATGCGGTAAACGACGGGGCAGATCTCCCGTTTTGATAATTTGCGGCTTTGCCTAAATGTACCACTTTCCAAGAAATCCGATTCTATAACACGGATTTTTAAAACAGTAAAATCTCTAAACTAATGTTTGTAATACGAGACGAAAGGTTTTTTTTTAAGAAATTCGTGTGGTCGCATATGCAGCAAAATAGGTATATAGACATTAATTTTATTTTCGTTTTGTGACATAAAAAATGCCCGATATTCGTATTCGCCATTCGCTTTAGCACCGATAATACAAAATAATTGGAAGAACCATAAATTTCACGAAATTTATGGGCCCTTAAAAAATGCAGAAACACTTGCGACTCCGCGAGGGCCTTTCTGACCTTTGGAACCTTTTCGAAATGACACGTTGGCCGCAGACTTTGCGTCTCTGGAATGTAGGAGGAATTTCTCGGACGCCGGTAAACGATTTATATCCATTTTTTATCCTTTATTAAAAATTATGATTTATATTTATTAGGCTCACAATATATCATAACAAAATGGATACGTAATTTGATACCCATTACCGGTGTAAAAAATGAGAATGATGAACCATTTCTTCAAATATCTAGTCTATAATAGAGTGTAGAAGTATTTGCTACTTTTATTATATCAATAACTTGGCAATTTCATAATTACAATATCTGAAACTGACATTAATCATATGTAATTATAAAAACTCTAAAAATATTCACCGGTAATCCGACTCTAAAAACACTTCCCATTACCTCGAAAAATGACTGATTTATTCCGTTCGAAAATAAAAAAGGGCAAGGAAGTTCAGACGGATCTTCCTAATATTTTTTCGTCAGCCGGCTAACGCGATATCGCTTTTTCCGAACGGTTACCTAACACTTTACACATGTAGTAGTGTTAAATATCAAGTTTATCGCTCAAAAACGGCGTCTAAATGTTGATAAAACGTTTCTAAACATTCCCAGACTCTCCTGAGCAATTAAAAGAAGTTCCTGGAAAGTGCCTGTCAATTTTTAAAATAGAAATGTCGTAATACCTCTAGGTATCTACAGGATGTCCAACATACAATTATTTTTGTATGAGCATATCCTTCCATTCGTACATACCTTTACTAAACTAAATAAAAATATAGATTATAAACCTTTATAAAATTATCTATATCTTCAAACCACAATAATCAAATATGTTTAATAAAAATGTGACTATTATGACCTAATATAAAAGACGCCCTTTATGTACGTGTAATTTTTTTTATTTTTCCAACGAAATTACGAATTCCGCGAAAAACTATTAGAAAAGAGACTGAAGGCACGATTGTTTGCGGATTTTTAAGATTAAAACTAAAATAGCTAGAAAATGCTCATGATAAGAATCCACTATTTTTGTTTGTAAATTTAATACGTGTTTAATTAATCTTAAGAATTTCATAAAAATCTGTGTAAGTACATGTAAAACAGTAACAAAATGTATTCATCTAAGTGATAATTATTGTTTGTAATTGGACAAAAAGTACAACAAAACACGTCCTTAAACATAACAGGAATATACCCTGACGTTAACAAAGACTAATTGAGCGGTATCGCCCGTAATTTCGCATTCAATTCGTTAATGTTGTGTGATTTATGGGCATTATCGGGTTGCATCTGTCCTCTCTGTAATTAATTCCGCCGGGAGTAGCAATCATTTCAATTAGGGCCCACTGCAAAGTGAAAAGGGCTCCTGAGCGCCTCTTCTTGCAACTCGCTTCCCTTTATATTGCGACGCGGAAATTCAGGAAATTCGCCGTCGCCATGACAACATTACAGTCAGGTAGCTCAGGTGTATGCCCTGTTATTCAACTGAATTTAATTAATGTTATTCACTTAGGATACGCTATGCTTAGGATAATCATAAAGCAGTGCATGATAATATTAGAAATTTCCAATGTTTTGAAGGTACCTATTAATGGGAGATTTGGTAGAATTTTATTTGTAGAGAAATTTGAAAATTGAGTTTGAAATTTTGGTGAAGGCACTAAATATGATCTCATTTTATTAGATGTATAAATGGTACAAAAAAGTAAATAATGGTGGAAAATAGAAAATCTTAAGACCTATAAGACCTATAGGAGAATAAATATAATTAACGAAAAGAAAAAAATACAATGTCTAAGAAATATCCAAAGAAAAATTAACTATAAGTAACAAGTCATTGGTGATATTTTAAATGTAAAATTCATTAAAATATACCATTAAAATATAAAAACTACAATTATCTGCAAATTAGGTAGACAAGTAGACATCTTTTAACAACCACATTACTTACTACTAACATAAAATACTGCCTATTTTTACACGTTATCAAAATAAACTATCTTTTATACCTGATTAATTAAAGAACATAAATTTCTAACACCTATCACAAATTGTCTAAATATCCCAATAAAAATAGCATCGACAACTTGATGAGAGCATCCCCAAATTCCAGAGTACTCCTCGACTGATTGGCCGCTTTGTAAGGGCTGTCGCCCTGGAAACGAAAGCCCGACGAAAGCTCGCGCCGCGATTGGCCCGCGGAGCTTTAGACGCCGCCCACCGGTCGAGCCAGCGCCAGCTTTGCGTGCATTGTAAACCTTTTGTGCATTAGTATTAGTAATCCAATGCTTCTTCTAAGTTTGCGCGTAAATGTTGGACGTGCGGTGTATTAAATGAAAATTTCCCGCAATGATGGAAATCGACGGAACTTCGAGCGGCTCGAGCGACTCGCACATCGGGAATTTCTGCCATCCCGCGGGCAACATCAACTACTATTCGGACAATTTGTACTTCGCGACCAACTGCAAGTTGGACAACTATTTCGCCGGCGATAAGCTGGTGAAGAAAATCGAAAACGTGCCGAAGAAAATCGACTATTTTCGCAAGGACGATTACGGGAAAAGTGCTTTAAACAAAAGTGATGCGGGATGCAAAAGGGTGCTAAACTACGCCGAATGTTTTGAGAAAAAAACCGACGAAAGGAGAGGACACCTGGATTTTTTTAACAACAACTCTAACGTTACCAGCAAAAACGAAGGAACTATTCAATTGAATGGAATCGAGGCTTATGGGAAGAAACCTATGAGTTTTTCACCAGATCAGGTATTAACACTAGTATAATTATTAACAATTGTATAAGTTTCTATTCTTAACGGAAATGAAGAATGTACTCCTATATTTTAAATAACTGAAATATTCCAAAAGACAGCTCTTTTAAAATTATTCCTTCTTCTACGCAATTGCATTATTATGAAGGTGTATTAGATAATTTGTTATCATTTTAAAAACTGACTCATTCAGACTCTTCAATCACTACTGTCGTCTTAATCTCGCAGGACTTAGTTAATTATTTAATTGATATACCTACTTCCCAATAATTAACTACATTAACTTTATTCATAATAAAGCAGATTCTAAAATGCACAGCACACTATACAGATTTCAACCCACTTCTTCTACCACCCAGAAGCAATTCTCAAACTTTTATGGGATTCCCGTCGCGCGGCAGTCAATTTAATTTCATATACACTACATATTTTATGTATTCTAAATTGATTTTAAACCTTAAAGCAACCCAGTTCGCTCGGTAGCGCCCATTGTTCTTCACCAAACAACCAATTCCAAATAAATTAAACTCATTCCGTTTCGAATCAGGTGCAATGCATGTGCGAAGCCCTGCAGCAGCGCGGCGACGTCGAGAGATTGGCGACATTTCTGTGGTCGCTGCCTCAATCAGAGCTGCTCAGCGGCAACGAGAGCATACTCAGAGCCAGGGCGGCGGTGGCGTTTCACCGAGGATCATATCACGAATTGTACTCGATATTGGAATCGCACGCTTTCCATACCAGGTGGCATTCGGAGTTGCAGAGTCTGTGGTTCAAGGCGCATTACAATGAAGCCGAGAAGATCAGAGGGAGGCCGTTAGGTAGTAGATTTTGGTTTATCGTTGTTGGTAGATATGTGAGTATTGAAAATTCCAGGTGCTGTGGATAAGTATAGGCTGCGTAAGAAGTACCCGTTGCCTAAGACGATTTGGGACGGCGAGGAAACGGTGTATTGCTTCAAGGAGCGAAGCAGGAACGCTTTGAAAGACTGTTACAGTAGGAATAGGTATCCGACTCCGGATGAAAAACGAGCTTTAGCGAAACGGACCGGCCTAACGTTGACTCAAGTTTCTAATTGGTTCAAAAATCGAAGACAGAGGGATAGAACACCACAATCTAGACCGTAAGTTATTACATTTATTTAACAAACAAGTGCTATCGAAATCACATCAGAATTCGTATAGGGTGGCTTTAATTAATTACATGTAGGTATAATACTGCGTTTTAAAAGATTTCTAAAATAATTGCAACTCTATTCCTCAAACCAAGCAGTTTCGATTTTTACTAGTTTTTTATTATTCCTTTTTAACGGCCACGACAGACTCGTGTCCGCGTATAAAAGAAATTAAAAGTGACCCGTTACTAAAAAGCAGGAACGCATTTGAAGCACGTTCGAGGCATCGGGCCCGTAACTTCTTGTTTGGATTGAGGTAGTATTAAAAATTAGCGAGTTCTCGTTAATGGCAGCGAATCCGTCGGGTAGCTTGCTATGTTAATTGAGGAAAAAATGCATTTTGCAAGAGTTACTTAGCGAATTTGTTTGATTTCAGAGACTTGATAATAGGCAACATGTCCATAACGCATCAGAACAACATAATGAATTCGATGGGCAATCACCAAAGCGGTCTCGACATGGCGGCCTTCCAAACGGCTTCGAAACTCTTCGATCCGAATTGTACAATTACATCGTGTTATCCGGACTACCAAGTAGTTTAAAACCGTTGAAAAAAATTATACCTTTATTTTATTGTAAATTATTTTGTATATAAATAAATGTGTACTATGTTGCTTTTAATAAATAATATCGTGCTTGATATCAACAAAAAAGTCGTTGTCAAATTCGAAGTTTCCAACTAATATTTCTGACACAACCAATGGCTTCGATATATCCCTATTACGAAGAATCAGAGCACGCAGAGGGTATTGTATTTGCATCATGCAAGTAATTTCTTATTTTCACTCATAAATATGGAATATTTAGTCATAAATACGCGCGGGCCACAAAGACATGTAAATCGTTTTGTAGAGTTCAAAATGATTTCCAAGCGAAACTCAGCTGGGGCGCCACGAAGATTCAAAGCTTCTTTCGGGGACTGAAGGTGAGAAAGCAAATCGAGCACATGCGAAAAGCGGCGATCACGATTCAAAAACTGGTGAGAGGCTGGCTCGTCAGGTACCATTTGCCCGACAGATTGCAGGAATATTACGACGAGATTTGCTTTCGGCATTACAGCAAAGCCGCCGCCAAAATTCAAGCTACTTGGAAAGGATACGTGGTAATTTATTTAACAGATTCTATCACAATGGAGTCTTCTAATCGACACTTTCAGTTTAGGAAGTTCACTTTCTGCATTAAGGACGTTTTGGAGGAAAGAGCTCGAATCGCCCATGCAGACGAAGAGATACATAAGTTATTCCAACAACCCTTCAACGAATTTAACAAAACACCTTACAAAATCAGTGAAGATTATTTACGACAAATTTACGAGATACTTTTCGACAGGCATCACTTGCTTCGAACTAAACACATTAAAGGCGTTCTATCCAACGAAGGAAGCGAGTACGAACAATTCACGCCTCAATCGATCACTATTAACATTAACTTTTTCAGCGAGTTATCGATATTAGAACAGCTAATAAAAGTCATGCCTTGGAATGATTTCGTGCGGACCATTCATAAAATTTATTACAATTACATGAAGATGCCGAAACCTGTGAGGTACAAGTATTCAGATAAAACGCTCAACAAACACGAGGACTTCATTAGATACATGCTGAAGAATCTACCCGAGGTTATCATTAATTGGCAAATGAGTCAAAAAGTGCAAGAGTAAGTAACTCTATTTGCGCGTGCTATTTTCCAAAAAAAAGGTTACCTTCTAGCTTTAAACTGACGTCGAAAATCGAGCACGAATCGGTGGGACCGCTGTTATCGAAGAGCAGGTTCGTGCCTCCGATTAAAAACCCCATTCGAGTGCTCGATAGCACCCAGAACGTGGCCTGTCGGGGCTTCAATCTCAGCATACCGCACGTAAATCGAATAAAATGCGGCCTCAAGAAGAAACCCATAGACTATCACATCGATTTTTGGTATGAAGAATGCGAATGCGGCCAACGAGAAAGGCTTCAATAAAGTATGTTTGTTGCATAAATCGTTTTGTTTTTATCTGCGAGGAATATTGATCTTAGAACGCCCTGTATATATAACATTTATTGAATTGTACAGGGTGTTTCTTCAGTAAATAGAGGGGGTTATTTTATTTTTTGTATCTCCATCTTTAATGCTCAACTTTAATGATCACCCAGTAAATTTATCCTTTATCCAGTAAATAATTAAATATTTTTCATATTGCCGCATTTGTGTAAGAGTAATAAAATATTGAAATAATAATAGGCGTGGATTAAAATTAGTTATATTATTTTGTTGTATGTACATTCTTCTTGTACTTACAATAATTAAATAAATATTACATCTAAGTACACTGTATATCAACTAAAAATTACTCTGTATACAAATTATTTTTCTCTTCATAGAATTAACGTAATTTTTTACGAATTGAAAGAACAAAAAAAATCAAAAATAAGAAAGCGTTTGTACTATGTGAAAACCAAATTAAAAAGTATAGAAAGTGTCGTCGAAAATAATGCAATCCTTTTAAAAATAATCCGATAATTAATAATTAGTTGGTGTAAAAATTCTTGTTTGACCACATTACACTTATACCGATATTGCGAACTTTGATTAGATAAGAAACCATAAATGTTGTTGTACTTACATAAACATAAAAATTAACTCCACTAATGACATAATTACTCGGCACAACACTTCTAGTCAATAAAATTGTTCGATTAATTTTAGCAAAGCACTTGCCTCATTTACACGCTGTAATTAATGATAAAATCATCATTGGGAGGAATAAAAAAAATCTAAATAAATCGAGAATAAACGCGCAACAAAGCTTTGTTTTCGTCGACCGGTAACTGATTCACTGACACATTATTAGAAGAAAAACTCGTCTACAAAATTAATTTCTAAAAAAAATTGCGACGTTGTCAGGTGTAAAATTTTGCCAAGATTTTAGAAGAATTTAATAGTAATTAAAAAAATGGATTTCCTGCAAAGAAATACATTATTTTCGAGGACACCTTTTACGATTCGATTAATTCGTATGATCAGAAAACGGAAATTACTTAAAAACTAAAAGGAAAAAGAAAATTGAATAACGTAGGGTATTACACAGTCTAAATCTAAAACTAAAAACATTAATAATTTTCCATATAAAATACTACGCGAATACTGCAATTAAAATTTCGTTAAATAATAGTAGACAAACATTTCTGTACATAATTAAATAGGTAAGTTGTTATTTTAACAAGTCTAATAACGTAATAGGAATAGGGTTATTTAGATTAGAAAATATGGAAACAATTAGATCTTATCACAATCAAATAAAACGATCTTTAATTCTAAATATACATGGTAGGTATTTTCCATGTGCCTGTAGAAAATGCAGGTCAATTCTCGGGTTAAAATTATACACTTTGTAATCTTCTAATTTCAACAACTCTGTTTACAAGGTTTTTTTTAGTATTAGAGGATATGAATTTGGAAAATCTTTAACTTATACAAAAGGATTGACCTTGTGCATTTTTTACACATAGAGAAACACATGCTTCCCTACAAAAAGCTTATTAGGTGCAGAGACGTCCATACAAGGCAATTTCGCTAGGTAGGATAAACAGAAAAAACTTACGATAGTTTGATCTATTAATGTATAACGCCATCGAATTAAATACGTCTTTTCTACACTGGATTTATCCAAATATTAAGTGCAGAATTGTAATTGTTAGATCGTTAAATTATAGGAGTAAATGAAGAAAAATATATCCTCATTTCTAATTCAAACTAACTTGTCTACAACAACAAATCTAATCCGTAAAGCATTTGATATCGTTTTTTTACTCAGTGTAATGTGTGTAAACCTATAATACTAGATACTATTCATATATTTTTAAATTTATAGAGATCTTATTATAAGTTATCAATTATAAAGCAGAGCTAGAGTGAAATATCAAAACTGCTAATCCATTTTAAAGCAAAAAAGCTGGCAAGATTGTTCTAATTATTTAAGTTTTGCATTGCTGAATTAAGTTTTAAAGGAGTATTAAAGGAAATATTTCATTCCCGCTCTTGAAGAAGCAATACAAATTCGCTTAGATGAATTAACGTCATTCTCTTCCAATCCATTTTTGTTTAGTTCATTTGGATACCCTGCATTCCGAGTGTGTACATTTCACCAAATTTTTCGTACATTAAAATGTTAATTTGTAAGTTTGTTGACAAGCTCTTATGCGAAGTAAAACGTAGAAGAAAAGTCTGAAAAACCTATTATAAAAACATAAAAAAATAAATGTTTCAAAAATTTACAAATATACACACAATTAGTAATATATCGGAATTAATTAATAACAAATCAACAAAATATAGTCCTTTTTAAAAAAAATACAATATTTTTAACATTCCTTACATAAAAAAATAAATTATTTTTTGTAATTAACAGTCACAATCCAACCGTTTATTTGGCAACTGCCCTTCGAGACAAAATAAAAGGAACTAAGTTAATCGAAAAACCGCACGGGGATGTTCTTTGGAACAGTTGCCGAAATAACGTATAGCAGTACGACGCCGTGAAACCAGCTCTTGAAGCGACTGATTTACGAAACAGCCGCCGAAGAAATCCAGCTAAACGAACGCTACGCGAAGCCTTTCGTTTTTTCTCTCTTCAAATCGTATATATCACAAACCGGAAAATTACGCGTTAGTATTTTCATAGCAGTTGATCAGTTTTTTTGATGGTGTTGTTGTTATTGTGATTGCTATTGACGTTTTGGTAATGGCAATTCGACAGGTCGATGCTGCTTTTTCTTTTGCTCTTGTAGCAGTAGATGAAGACGATGCCTATCACTAAAACGGCGGCCACCAATATCGCGATGCAGATGTTCACCACAAGATCTGGATTAAGAAAATGGATAATTAGTCAGAGTTAAAGGAGTTATTGTGCGAAATTCATGCATGAAAATACGCAACCTTCCCTCTACCCGCCTCTTGATTTTCCCCTTAAATTTTGAACGGTGATCATCTAAAAGTCCTGACACTCGTAAAATCCAGAAATAGTTGTTTTCTAACAATTGTTGATTTTTTTATCTTAATTCATCAATTTTGTCTGCTTACCACTTTCCGTTTCCGTCGGTATAATAGAAGGCTCGGTCGTCGTAGAAGTAACTGGATTACTATTTTCCATCATAAATTCAGCATTTCTGTTCATAATAACGTTAGGCAACTGCGGAAACACATCGACAGTTTTCGAAATCGACTCGGTCGTAGTCGAACTACTGGTAGCAGGAGTAGTAGAAATACTAGTAGTAGTAGTATCGACAAATTTAGTAGTTACAGCGGAAGCGTTAAAATTATCGATCTTGTCCTTGTACTCGTCCAAAATCCGTATCAGATCTTTCATGGAGATGTTATATCGCGTAAAGATGTCCTGGCTCAGTCTGATGGCGTTGCACTTGCACACCTCGCAGCCGCGCCTGTTCGTTTTGAAGCCGTTTATGCAGGTTTTGGTGCAGTTGACCAGCGGCGGGCACTCCGCCGGCTTGGCGGTGGGTTTCTCGCAAAGATCATCGAAGCACCGCCGGAGGCCGTTGATGCAAGTGCAATTCGTGCAACCGTCGGATTCCAACCAGGTGTCGCCGTCGTGAAACGACACGTCGTCCTTTACGCACGAGCTGTTCACTTGTATGGTCTTCACGTCGCAGTAGTACGATATGCAATCGTGTTCGCCGTTTCTAAACAAAAAATACATTATTATTAGTAGCGTGTAAATTCGGTTAAATGAGGTAAACTTACGCGCATGTACAGGTCGTACAGCCATCGTCTTTGGTCCAGGTTTCGTTGTGTTTGTGGAAGAGATTGTCCACGAAGCAATCGGTTGCTTCCACTTCCTTGTTGTCGGAGCAAAGCGCCAGGCCGTTCTCGCATTTGCAAACTTGAGATTCGAGCGTCAGCCATTCTTTGCCGTTCTCGTAGAAGAGGTCGCCGTAGCTGCAGCCCTTGATGGTGGATATCTCCTCGGTTTTCTTGCATTCGTACAGATCGCAGCAGTTGCCGGGAAAGCCGCTCGCGTGCTTCTTTATGACCGCCTGAAAATTGGTGTTGTTTAGAGGTGTCGATAGCGTTGCTAATTTTTGCGCTTACTGTTTTGTTGTAACCGCATTCCGTTTTGCAAGGTAAACAAACGCAATGGTCTTCGATTTCGTCGCCTTCGACGTTGGTGGATTCGCTATCCGAAGGGCAGGGTTTACAAATCGTTTTCTTACAGCAACCGTCCGATATGGTTACAGCGACGGATTTCTTATCGCACAATTGCGGCAACGGACAGAGTATAGGATTGCAAACGCACTTTCCTTCCACCTAAAAAAAATAGGAATCGGGACGTTAGATAGAGCACCCTCTACATTGCGAAGGACCTACCAAATGCTTCGTTTCGTCCACGCAGGAGCATTCGCGCCCATCGATCGTGGCCCCTTCGCCGCAAGGGCACTTCCCATCGAGCTTCTGCTCCTCGTCGCAGCCGACGCACTCGTACGTGGGGCAGCACTGGCCCGGCACGTCGGTGCCGTTGGTAGCTATCTGCAGATCGGTCGGGCACGGCGGCTTCTTGCAGGATTCCGGGACGCATTTGCACGCGTCCTCCGACAGCACGCTGTCGGACGGGCACGCTTCGACAGATGGCGCCGCATGGATCGCTGCTGGAATAAATAGAACAAATTGAAGCTTAGTGCATTGAGGATACAACCAAATTTTAGCTATTTTGGTACACGAACTTGCTTAACATCTATTTTACAAAGTCAAAATATACAGTCATTAAATGTACTAACACACTTATAAAGGGTTTTCCACGGTAGCCGTGCATTAGAACTTTTCGGAGTTCCTGAAGAGTTACGAATCTGAAAATTTAGGATTAAGGTTTAGTCAATAAATGATGTGATATTAGGAGATTATCGAATTAATGAAAGCTCTTCGAAATCTAACGGCGCGAATCTGCGGTGATCGGCACGCTCCGGAATTGCTCTTTGGGCGATATGGCGATATCGACTGGCAATTATTCCGGAAACCGCTAAACGGTTCTAGCAGTAAATTTTTCCGTAATTCGCCGCCTCCGGGTGGAAGGCGTCGTGTGCGACTCGCGAACTCGCAATCGAGATAACCGGGCCCGCGTCGGGTCTATCGAGCACGAGGAGGACGAGAAGTTATCGGTGTGCACGTTGGTTTTTTTGCCTGCGAAGATAATTGACTTAGTTGGCTCGTGCAGCTTGCGGGATATTAATTCCGCAGGAAGCGATTCCAACATGTGTCTAAACGATTAGGAAAGGTTTTTGAAGTTTTAGTTACTTAACGAGACCGATGGTGCTCGACCGGTTGTAAAATGGTGTTAGTACAGCCGTAAATTTTCGCAATATTTTTATCCTAATCCCTTTACACATATAATCTATCTAGATAAGTGCGCATAAAACAAGCATATAAATTGCATTGCTCAAAGAGATACGATCTTGTCGAGATTATCTGAAAAGCTAGTTCGGAGCATAAATGTACCATAACATGCTATCAAGAGTATATCCATTCACTCGAGTCTGCATCGGTAGTTTTGCTAAGAAATTGAAATAATTTAGAAACTAGTTATAACAAGATATACGACGTTTCGTTTATTTTTTCTTCTTTCGCTTGAATTTAGTAATGTATACTATAAAAAACTATTACCCTAGTACATTTGAATATCGAAAAATATAATATATTATATCTTAATTGACCCCCCCTTGTTAATTCCATCTTTTGGTGCGCACTTTTTCTTCCCCCTACGTTTCTTCAGCTTCTTCTTGCACTTCTTGCGCTTCTTCTTGCACTTCTTTCGCTTCTTTTTGCATTTCTTGTATTTCTTTTTGTACTTCTTCTTCTTCTTTTTGCACTTCTTGCGCTTCTTCTTGCACTTCTTGTACTTCTTTTTGTACTTTTTGTACTTCTTCTTGGCTTTTTTATACTTGCGTTTGTACTTCTTTTTCTTACAGCACGGGTCCAATGAGACAGGCTCTCCCCCGCCGGATATTGGAGGGCACCAAACACAATTTTCTTTCACAGACGGTATCAAATCGTTAGGTGGATTGACAGGCTTCTGGTTGACGTTGAATGGTTCTGGCACAAAATTATTTACCGTACCGGTCGGAAGGATTTGGGGTGCAGGGGCTCCCCTGGCGACATCGTGAAGTGCTAATCTTGATACATTTTTTAAGTTGAGGGGCAATAAACGAGAATTTGCTGCATTTTTAATAACTAGATTTCTAATTATCGGTATTAAAGTCATTTACTATAATTTTACATTATCAACAAATTTAAGTGACACGACATTCCTAAATGAAATTTAGAAATGACAAAAATTTTACCTAACGATGCTCTAAACAAAACATAAAAATAATTGAAAAGCTAATAATGAACGGAAGCATATGAGATTAACACGATAATTTTAATTAAAAAAAACGAAGATTACTATCATGTTTGCATTATACGCGCTGATATCGAACTAAATTATGGACGTTTTAACGTCGAAGATTAGATACTATCAAGAAATTCCCTACCGTGTTTACACGAGGAGGTTACAAACTCAAATAAACCCTTCTCTATTTATGACGGAACCTTCGGGCTGATTATACCAAGGCTAAATACGCCGGCCTCTGTGCTCCTGCCAGATTTAATGTACCGGGAGAGGGCTAAGAAAATCAACATTTTGTACGACTAATATGCAAATTAATTTCATGTTTATTTGGTGAATTTCGCCGAGCATTTTATCGTAGCTACCGATAACTTTGACGAAATAAATTTACCTATAAATCATGTAAGGGTTCTTCATTTCAGTGTGACTAATAAATTCGTTGTTATCTGAATAGGTTTGTACAAAAAGTAATACCATTGGTTTTTATTAAAGTTTAAGTGCCATTAAAGCTTCAATAAATTTTCGATATTGCAGAATTTAGGAATATTTATTTTTGCTTCCTACTGGGAGCTTTCGCGAAATTGAAAAAAAATTTGCGCGCTATACGGAAAAATTGCGGAGCGGAGTGTTTTCCCGATGTAGCAAATGCAGATAACGCTACAAATAACCCATTTTTGCCGGCAATCTCTCGAGTTACTCCAACAAATTGAATCATCGAAATCCACAAGCACTTACTCGCCCTCTCGGAGGCGGCCCCTCGTACTTTACGCCCGGGCGCGGCGTTCGCGTTCCATCTTTGCGAAACGCTCACTCCATTACTCCATATTCTATTTGTCTTAAAGACAAATTAATTTATTTTTCGAGCGCCCGAGATTTTCCGCCCGATAGTTGTGTAATCCTTTCGCTAAAATTACCCCCGCCTTAAGCGCCAGATGATGGCGTTCTTCCTTTCTATCCTGTTAATAAAACGCGAGACGTGCGAGCGAATTGCGAGCGAATTTGAATTTTATACTAATTTCAGATTAGCGTATATGGGAGGCGAATTACTCGGGCCCCGAGGGCGCAAAAATCTAATTACCGTCGAACGAGTGCGAAATTTTTGCTAATAATGTTTTGAAATTCTCGCGTGAAGTCTGCTTAAAATTCCGCATATTGATTAAGCTCTCAGGTGACGACGATCGCGGTATTGTTCTTTCAATTTGCTAGTTGCAGTTAGCTCCAGATGCGGCCCGGCCGGTTTTATTATTGAACTGATGGTGATCTCATTTAATTACCATAATTGCCAGTTGCAGTTGAATTCTAAGACTATGTCCCCGTAAATATGTCAATTGCGAATCCGCTACCTACGGTATTACTCACACGTCGTGATTGCACTCACACATTTACAAGCTTCTACGATAGAAGTCATTAAATTATAAAATTAAACGTACACAGAGACAGCTAAATAAATTTTATGCACCTTCATAAAATTCGTAGTGAATGAATATTGTACACAAGTGTCTGTAGATTTTCGTTTTTAATAATCTTCTAGGTATTAAAATGTGCGCTTAATATCGAGGTCGATTTAAGCGCATTTGCATAAACATCCGAGTAAATTTCATTCGGCTGGAGATCAGAATCCTCCTTTTATAAAACACCATTGGGAATCGAATAATTCAGCTCGACTGCATTGGCGGAAATTACAAAAAAAAAAATACACGGCGAACGATAAAAATAAAACAAAACCGCGTCGGAACGTCGGCGGTTTTAGTTCTGCAACGAAAGCTCATTATAAAAGGGGTATTTTCATACGCGAATGGCAGCGTAAAATTGTTATTATTAAACGCCAGTTGGTGGTGGAATCGCTTGCATTTAAATATTCCTTTTGTTGCCGTGTCACTCTGAAGATTATTAAACTTTGAATGTTTCCCTCGTAATACTAAGTTATGTCTTTGGCTTTACCTCGTGAAGTCAGCGCAGGATTAGCGTGAATAAACTATATCTAACAATTCCAAAAGTCGAAGAATTCTTCAGTGAGCTGGTGCACCTACTAATTCAACAAACATAATCCGTTATTTAAAGAGTAAGACAAAAGGCGATAGCCATTCCCGTTTTTCACGGTGGCGGATAGGAGTTTTTTGATAAGGTTCCGGCGCGGCGTAATCAAACTTAACGCGAGAACTAACAAAGAGACGCCGATTAAGTGGCCGATAAACTCGTTGCGGTCGCTTTTTATGAGGGAAACGAGGGACTTTTTGTTTCAGATATATTTCAATCCGTCGGAGATAAAGGAAGGAAAAATATCGATGCCGGGGCGCGTTCACTTTCTACCGGTTCTTGTTCTCGGAGATTTTAATGCTCGTTGCGATCGCTCGATAACGGAATCATTTTAATATGTAATCGTTTAATGCTCGTTTTGGACGTTTATACAAAACAAACCAAATTACCAACATTTAAAAGGAAATCTGATTGTATTAAAGGTTTGTTTCACCATTCGAATGCAAATGCTGGCGGTTATCAAACAATCTTATTACAGCCGGTATACAGGAGCTTGTCAAAATGTACCCACAAGAAAGAGAAATTCTCGATTCGATCATTTATCTCGAAACAGAATAATGTAATATAGTACAGGAAAATATTTTATTATACAACTCCTACTAGATACTAATGAAACCAAATTTGAATTCGTTTGATATTTTTCATAAAAATTAAATTATGCAGACAATCAACAATTTTATGAAGATTGATGAACTTTATAATGATTATTAAGTCACTGAATTCAACTGAAAATAGAGTAGATAAAATAAATAAAAAATTAAGATTATTAAATTAAATTCACTGATGGATTCATTAGGTTGCGGCGCTTCGCAATTCCCGGACTATTAGATATTCCGCTCAAAAGGTGCCCGAGAATAAAATGATACATAAAATGTACAGCGTACTAAATAACATTCAGTCATAATAATAAGAAGTACCTAACTGGTATACGGAGGCAGCCGTTTAATCAAATTTCATTGTTATTTGATCCAGCTATAGTTTTTCAGACGAGGCAGAAAACGTTTTGCTTACGCCTGTCATTTAAGATGGCATCTTTTCATGGAATTTTACCATTGTTCTTGTCTTAATGAAACGGATTCAAAACGTCCCAGGTTAAAATTCTTTTTTTTTAGTAAGCAATAAAGAATCCGGCGCGTTTCAGAAAAATATGGTAGGTGTTATGAAAGAAACCCGAAACATTACAAAGAAGACAAGTTTAATTTAAAAGATTTTTTATTTGACTTGTTCATG